TACAGAATCTCACTTCTAGCTCAACTTCCCACTGAGGTGTTCAGAGCACAGGACGTGTTTCTTTATTCAGCAATTTTTTTTTTTTAACCTCCTATGATACTTGATGCTTGTTCCTTGTCAAGTATTTTTTTTTATTTTTCCACATAAATACAGATATGAACCAAGTGTTACAAATTTACAATTCTGCATTCTACATAGTCACCCGAATGACTCTACCATATATTATAAGAGTTTTTAAATAGCTAATACTAATCACTAATGTGCCAGATACTGGGTTTCGTATTGGGTAAAATGAACTGTGTTAGTTTGCCTTTTTCCTTGATCGGGTCTTCTTTATTTTTTGTTGGTGTTTTCAGACAAATAACCATTTGAGATACTGTGGATTAGATGGGATTATTTCATGTCTTGTCAGATAGTTTATTACCAGTTCCCATTTTCGCGTCAATTTTGCATGTGACTTAATGTTTTGCATTTGCGCACTGTGATTCAGGTCTGTTATTTTCGCCATTACAAACTGTTCCCAAATTCTATCATGCCATGCTTTGAGAGTCGGAGGGTTTGGTGTTTTCCATGCTGCTGCTATTGCTAATTTTGCAGTTGCACGTAGCAGTGCAGTGATTTCTTTCACTTAGTCTCTTACTTTCTCGTCCCATATGTTCAATAATATAACTTCCCGTTTCCAGGAGATCTTCTGTGAGGTTATCTCATACTCGTTGACCCTTCCAAAACTTGAGAATCTTTGGACAGCTCTACCAGCAGAGTAAATAAGAACCCTCTTGCCCATATTTCAACATTCAGCATTTTTATAACCTGTGTAACACCAAAATTTTGCTCGAGTTAGGGGGGGTTGGTTAAATGCCCACTCACTCTCTTTAGGGTACAAGAGGAGCCACCATGACCTATAGCAGGCTTGCCTTGGCTACCCCAAGGTAATTGCCTTAATCTGAGGGTGATACAGCCCACCAAAAAACACCTGTTACAACTGGCTGCTGGAGACTGTCAGCTAGCTGCTGTCAGGTTCCACAGCCAACAACTGAGTACATGTTTATCAGAAAGGTTATACTTTATTGAAGAGCTATAGATGCATTAACAAAGGCATTGTTAAGAATGGCGTCACCCCTACAAGCATAATGGGATATAGGGTATTTGTATGCACACACACCCTTCCTTAGGCCAATTAGCCACATTCCCACGTGCGGGAGAAGGAGCCCCAGGCCGTTAGAGCCGAAGCTGAGAACCTAAAGCGCTCCCACGGTTCCCTTAAATCCCAGACACCACACACCACCTGCAAGGCCATAGATAAGCAAGCATTACAGAAGCCAAGAAGGAATGCAGCGGACTTGGCAAGCGAGCACCCCACCCCCAAACCTTATGGCAGCATAGCTGACATTCTGCCCTCTCAAAAACCCGCTTCTCCCATCCACTCTGGGAGGTCTCCCGGTCATTCTGGGAGATCTCCCGGTTTGTCTGGGAAGTTGCTATGGAACTTCCGCAACAACCAAGGGGCCCAAATATCCCGCTTCCACCCACTCGAGATGCTGGGGACCAAAGTCCAGCCATTCAACACAATACAACAGTTTTCCACGTTTAATCTTAGAGTCCAGAATCTTAGAGATCTCATAATGTTCCTTGCCCTCAATCAAGATAGGAGGGGGCACCGGCTGCGATGGACGCCAGAGACTTGACCCAGAATCCCGTTTCAGGAGGCTGAAATGAAATACAGAATGAAGGTTTCTCAAGTTTTTAGGTAGATCCAAATCTACAGCCACATCATTGATCACTCTTTTCACCTTGAAAGGACCAAGATATTTCCAACCTAGTTTCCAGCTAGGTCTTAAGACTTTTATGTTTTTAGTAGACACATACACGGAGTCCCCAGGCTTAAGAGCCAATCCCTCCACCCTTCTCTTGTCAGCCTGACTCTTGTATGCCTCCTTGGCAACATTCAAAGTCTTGCACAGGAGCGGCCATGACTCCTTTAACCGTTGACACCATTGAGCTGCATCCCCCAACCCAAAGTCATTGTTCCCTTCCAGAAAAGCACAGGCGGGCTATCGTAGCCATACAAAGCCTTAAATGGGGAAAGTCCGGTTGAGGAATGGCAAGTGTTGTTATAACAGCAGTCGGCCAGAGGCAGCAAATCCACCCAATCGTCCTGTTGATAATTGGTGAAACAACGGAGATATTGCTCCAAAGTTTGATTAACCCGCTCCATCGGGCTGTCAATCTCTGGGTGATAGGCGCTGCTCAGGCCCTGTTCCATCCCCATCAATTTTATCAGCTCCCCCCAAAACCGGGAAATAAATTGGGTCCTCCTGTCAGACACCACCTTGGCCGGGAGCATGTGCAGACGGACCACATGTAAAAGAAACGCTTTAGCCAGTGCTTTTGCCGTGGGCAGGGAAGCAAACGGAATGAAGTGTGCCTGTTTGGAAAACAAATCCACTACCACCCACATGACAGTCATTGACTTGCTTGGTGGGAGATCCATAATAAAGTCCATGGATATCACCTCCCAGGGCCGGTTCGGAGTTGGATGAGGCTGCAATAATCCCGGGTTTTTCCCCGGCCGGGGTTTACTCATGGCACAGATATGGCAAGACTTGACAAAGGAGGATAAATCCTTCCGCATTTGCAGCCGCCAGAATTGCCGCTGCAGGAGTTGAAGGGACTTAACAAAACCCGGGTGTCCCGACAATTTAGAGCCATGCACGGCTTGCAACACCTCCCCCCAAGGGAGGAATGCTTTGGCCAACGTCCGTGCCGTCAGCAAACTGGGGAATGGAATGAAATGAGCTTGTTTGGAGAATAAATCCACGACTACCCAAATTACCATCATGGATTTGCTAGGGGGTAAGTCTGTGATGAAATCCATGGAAATCACCTCCCACGGTCTATTTGGGGTCGGCAACACAGAGAAGCTAGTAAAAGCATGCTGCAGAGGAACACCATGCCATGCAAGGGGAAGCCTGAACTCCACAGAGACCCCATGAGCAAAAACCTCTGCTAGCATGCAAGCAGCCCCCCACCTTCACCAGATACTGCACGTAGGCTGCCCATTATGACAAAAGAACTCTTGCATAAAGGGATTAACTGGCTGTTACATCATGCCTACCAAGCCCATCACCCTGGCTACTGCTGCTATTGTCTTCTAAAGGTGTCACTGTTAGTAATAAAAGAATCAATATTGCCCAACCATTAGCCCCACCATCCTCCTGCAACTAATTTTTGCCAAGCAGCTTCCTGGGGACTAGGGACGTGACAGGGGATAGTGTATAAAAAGAGCAGGACCCACCATGCTTGCTCTCTCTCTTCCTCTATACCTAACCTTACCCTATCTTACGGACTCTCGGTGTAAGCGCTGTCCAGATTCTCTCCACGTGTTCTGCCAATTCAGAATACGACCCCATTTTTCCATTATAGTCTCCCTTATTTTTCCGCTGTAAGGATTGCTTCACCTCTTCAGGACAGGTATGTATCACCCACCAACGATTTGCCTGCTAATGCGAATGTCACTATCCCTTTCCATCTACATTTCCTAGTTCTGTGTAATTGTGTGTGTGCTTGAATTTATTGTATGCTTGTAAAGACTTCTCAGTAAAGAAACCATTTCACTAAATATTTGGTCTCTGTGTTTATTTTCTGGCTTACTGGAAAAGGCGGGACTCCTGTATACAAAGGTTATTGCTCCCTATTTGCCAATTGCTATTTTTAATATCATAATTCCCCACAACATTATTATAAAGGAATAAAGCAATTTGGCTAACATCTGTATGTTTCACTGTTCTGAGCACACCAGTTTTGGTACTCCAATTAAAAAAAAAAAAAAGCTACACTAGAGTGTTCCAAAACACAGTTTGGGAATTACTGAATTATACAGACCTCCATTTAACTTTCTACAAAAAAAGCACTGCTTATTCAGAGAGTACAGAAAAGCTGAAGTCTATATAAACATGTGGAAGCAAGGGAGAAAGAAACTGATAGGACTCAAATATAATGAGGCACTTGGGGGCACTGCTGGACTCTAGCTTCATTATCACACCTTTTTCTTAATTCTTGAATTTACTTGCTAATTTGCTGCTATCCATTGGTCTTACTTGATCAAATTTCAGCTCTGCAATTTCAGCTTTGAGTGGCCCCTCCTAACAGCTGCCCCCCTGTTTTTTCCTGTTACTAAGCCTTGAGGAGATTTGATTCCATTTGTCTGAAGAAGTCTGCTTTGCACACAAAAACTTACACTTTGAATAAAACTTTGTTGGCCACTGGACTCAAACTTTGTTTTGATGAGGCACTGAATGTGGAAGGACAGGGATAACTGACCAGAAACATTCTTAAAACTTCTATAGCATTTCACATACACCATCTCAACATCTTTTACAACAACCCTGTAAGGTCGGTCAGCACGATTATCATATTGCAAAAGGTGGGAAGGGACAGGAGCTGAATAACAGCAGTTTGCCTGGTGAGTTGGCAGTAGAGGAGAAATCTGAACTGTGATCTTCCTGTTTTGCAGCACATTCCCTTAAACCCAGCCCATTCAATGCGTATTAGTTAAATATGCGCGCTGACTCCATTGCAATAATGTCACACCAAATCTGTGGAGGCCTGTTCAGATCACTTTGTATCCCATGGGGAAGGTGCACAAGTGAGTGTCAGAACCCACAGCCAACAACGTAGTACACGCTTAGCAGGAAAGCTAATACTTTATTGAAGAGCTATAGATGCATTAACATAGGCACTGTTAAGAATGGCGGCTGCCCCTGGGGCATAATAGGATATAGGGTATTTGTATGCACACACCCCACTGCCCTGGCCAATTAGCCACACTCCCGTGCGCGGGAGAAAGAGCTCCGACCGTTTGCGCTGAAGCTGGGAACCAAGCTTGCTCCCATGGTTCCCTTAGTAGTAGACATCAACATTCCACCACCTGCAGGACTTTGAGATAAGCGTTACAGCAGCGAAGAAGCACAGAAGGAATGCAAAGGTGATTAGAGTACAACTGACACCCCCCCCAACCTCCATGGCAGCTTAGCTGACAGTGAGCAGCCCAATGGGGGGTAGGCATCTGTGAGACTAGTGCTTGGTTTCCTCCCCTGGCTATCCTAGCCACCAAAATGTCATGGTTTAGTTGGGTTCAAAAAGGACTTCATCAACTTTCATGTCATTTTCGGACACAGGGACCACATCACAAATTTGTTCTTTGAAAGCTAGGGCGATGGTGTAAGGTTTTCCTTTGGGGTGGTGGGTACACCTTTCGAGGTATGTATCATAGTACCCTTTTCCTCTTCCTAGTCTGTTGCCTGTTTTGTCAAAGCCCAGTCCTGGCATTAGGATGAGATCAAGACCATCTGTTGACAAAAGACAGACAGACAGATTGTTAAAACCACTTAATTTCTGTGTTTAAACTATCTTACCATGTTGCTCTCAATGTGGCTTAGAACATAAGAGAAGGCACGGTGGATCAGGCCAATGTTCCATCCAGTCCAACTCACTATGTTCACACAGTGGCCAAAAGCCAGGTGCTATCAGGAACCCAGAACTCCAGAAGCCCTCCCAACTGTTGCCCCCAAACACCAAGAATACAGAGCATCACTGTCAAAGATATAGTGTTCGATATATACCTTGTGGCTAATAGCCACTGATGGACCTCTGCTTGCAGCAACATAAATTAGAACAATAAAAATACAGAAACAGCCAATAAAATATATAGAGTAGCATAAAGCCAGATCAATAAAAGGCAGGGTAAAAGAATTCAGACACACTGTTTTAGACTTGAAAAATTCATGGCAGAATTCACTCTCTGCCTTAACTCCTTCTCCCCAACCCACTTTCCTTTCGCATATCTGAAGAAATGAGCTGTAGCTCCCAAAAGCTCATATTGAAATGAATGTTAAGGACTACCTTAAGGTGCTGCTGGATTTTTGTTTCATTTTGCAACAACACACTAACAAGGCCCCTTCTTTGCAATCTATCGTGTAGAGACAGGGCAACCCTGCATTCTAATGACAGTGTGAACACACAGTTCACTAGTTATCTTCTTGGCATACAAGCCCAAGGCCTGCTCCTGATTTCACTCTGGGCAGAATCCCACGCCTAGTATCAGTTTCTTTTTCCCGCCATGGGAAAAGGGGTGATTGGCCCACAGGTGGTGGGGGGGGGGGCTTTTTGAATCTGATATATTATTGTATGCTTGTTCCTGGCTAGTAATTCCTAACAGTGACCATGTTACTGCAACCATAGTACTGACAATAAAGCAAAACCTTTCTTGGAAGTGTGTGTTCCGTTGTTTGGCTGTGGGTCCTGACATTCTGTTAGAAATCCTCATCATCCTTATTGTTCGCCTCTGTCACGACGAGATGAGCGGGGAAGAGAACAAACCCGTACCCACAATGATGGGGAGGAGACCCCCACTACCCAGTCCGAGGTATTAGTGATGACTGTGGGCACTGGGACTATCCCGAAGACGGCATCAGCCCACATCTTCTTGACACCGAAGGGGCCAAGGCAGCAGGGAGGTCAGCTGTACCAACCCGGGCCGTTACGTGGGTCCAGTTTAACCCAGATTTGACGGAGGAAACATACCGGTATGTCCTGACCAAGGGCCCTCGGAGAGACAGCCGGTTCGATGCTGGGCAATTCTAGTTTCCTACCATATTGGGCAACATCGTAAGCTGCGACCCGAGCGTGGGTGACGGGCCGCATGAAAGAACGCAGCGGACACCAGTTCCCAGGGGACGAAGAGCTCGGTCTGGCCGAGCGAATTGTAGAGGTGGAACAGGCTCAGCGACAAATGATGCAAGACTTCAAGGAGGTGATCCTGGGCATCCCGGATATGGTAATCCGGGCGCTATGAGCAGAGCAGGAAGCACAGCAGCAAGCGCCAGCCCTTTCCCCCCCCCATCAGGGTCCACCTCAGGGACCACCTGTACCTCTGGTACTGGGACAGCCAGCGGGCCCGGGGGCTCCAGTGCTTGGCCCAGATGGGGACGGTCATACCCCAGTGCCCCAACCAGGAAGCCCCAGGGGCCAGGTCCTCCACTGTCCCAAAGACCTGATCGAGGTGACGTTGGCCAGAGACCCGGAGGATTTGCCTTACTTTGTAGTCAGAGTAATGAAATTGGTGAGAGAAGTACTCCAGATGTTACACAAGCACAAACTGTTTGCTAAGTTGTCCAAATGCGAGTTCCACCAAACAGCCATTGATTTTTTGGGATATAGGATTTTGGAGAAGGGGCTGGAAATGGAACCGGGGAAGTTCCGGGATGTACTGGGATGGGAAGCCCCCCGCACACGCCACCAGCTACAAGCCTTCCTCGGATTTTTGAATTTTAATCGAAATTTTCTGACCAACTTTGCCCAAGTCAGCTTGCCCTTCACTGATCTATTGAAAACCAAAGAGAAAGGCGCAGAGGCTACCAAACCAGGCACTAAGCTGCTCTGGACAAACAAATGCCAGGAGGCATTCGACCGCCTTAAGGCGCTTTTTACTTCGGAGCTGGTGTTAGCCCACCCCGATGAAAATAAAAAATGCATCGTCCAAGTCAATGCATCTGATGTTGCCGTGGGGGGGGGCAATCCTGCAAGAGGGGGACGATGGGCGATTACACCCCAGGCTATGTGTCCCGCAAGTTCAATGAGACTGAACGCAACTGGTTGGTCTGGGACAAGGAGGCAGGAGGAATCCGGCTAGCACTTTCTACATGGAGGGGGCCCGAGTGCCTTTTGAGGTTTGGACTGATCACAGAAATTTGCAAGTGTTGGCCCCCCCCCCCCGTAGTCTCAACGCTAAGCAGTTATGGTGGGCTGATGTCTTTTCTAAGTTTCGGTTCACGGCTCCACCATTTCCCAGGCTCAGCTAATTCCTTAGCTGACGCACTGTCACGCCTCCCTCAACATGACAGCCAAAGGGAGGAGACATTGGACTCCATGTTCACACCCTCGCAGCTGGGTGGGGCGGTGACAACTCGAAGCTGTGAGGGCTCCTCCCCCCGGCTCCGCCCCCTCCCCTCCTGCTCAAGTGGGAGGAACTAACTGGACTGCCAGATTTGCCTCCACCTTCTCGGATGATGACAGAACGGAGGTGGAAGGGGAAGGGAGAATGGAACTGGAAGTGGATGGATGCTGGTACCGTGGCACAAAACTATTCGCCCCTAAAACTTTGCGGGGGGAAGTATTGGCAGCGGTCCATGGCTCCAAACTCGCTGGCCACACAGGGTTTGTCAAATCCCTTCAGCTCTTACAAAGACAGTTTTGGTGGCCACTCATGCGCAAGGATTTGTCCTCGTTCGTTAAGTAATGCCAAACTTGTGTCATGTGCAAACCTAGACTGGGGAAAACCCCGGGGGTGCTGAAACTGCTTCCCACTCCGAGTCGACCATGGGAAGTGATATCCATGGATTTTATCAGACTTGCCCCCTAGTAAATCCATGACAGTCATCTGGGTGATTGTTGACCTGTTTTCTAAACAGGCTCACTTCGTCCCCTTTCCTTCGTTGCCCTCCGCAAAGGTTTTAGCAAAAGCATTTTTACAACACGTGGTGCACCTTCACACACTCCTGGGCAAAATTATCTCCAACAGGGGGACCCAATTCGCTTCTACGTTTTGGGGGGAGCTGTTGAAACTCTTGGGGGTGGAAAGGGCCATTGTTGGATCCCCAAGCATCGAGAATAAATCCACGTTTTCAAGAAAAGCAAAATTTATTTCAAAGCGTTGAAGACATACTCAAACACGTTCTTTGTTAGAACTGGGGATACACAGTTAGGTCAAGCATAATAAAGGAACTTCAAACAAATACAGATCCAATGAATAGCTTTCCCGCTGGCGGGCTAATGAAACGGTTGCGCGCCCAGTCCATGGGAACCAGGCAGAACATCAGACAAAACACAGGTGCAGTACTCATGGGAAAAGCAATAGGCAAGCATTACAGCATCTTCTCCCCCACACAACCTCCAGCAGTTATCTTTTGCATTCCAACGCAGGAGCAGGATGATAGAAAACAAGCCGGGTGCAACAGGGAAAGGATATGTACACAGAGGTCACAGAAAACAGAATGGCAGCTTGCTGACATACTGCCCCCCTTAAAATACACTTACAACACACCTCCCGGGCCGGGCGGGAGATCTCCCGGGCTGGGCGGGAGACCTCCCGGTTTGTCCGGGAACCTTCTGTGGAAACTACGGATCAGGTAAGGGGCCCGAATATCCCCTTCTTCCACCCATTCGCGGTGCTGGGGACCGAAATCAACCCATTCGATAAGGTACCAGAGTTTACCACGTTTCACTTTACAATCAAGGATATCAGCGATCTCAAAATGTTCATCCCCTTCCAAAATGACAGGTGGAGGAGGAGTAACTGCTGGTCTCCAGGGAGACGGGCCAGGATCCTTCTTCAACAGGCTCATGTGAAAAACAGAATGCAGAGCACGTAAATTCTTAGGCAAAACAACATCAACCGCCACATCATTTATGACTTTACGCACTTTGAATGGACCTATGAACTTCCACCCCAATTTCCTGCTAGGCCGCAGCATCTTAATGTTCTTGGTCGAGACATACACAAGATCCCCAGGTTTCAGATCAAACCCCACCACCCTACCCTTGTCTGCCTGGGTCTTGTAAGCAGCCTTGGCTGCGTCAAGTGTTTGGCATAGCAGAGGCCATGCTTTTTGCAAGGACATACACCATGTATCAGCATCCCCCACAGGACGTTGGCCCATCCCCTCCAGGAAAGGGAGGGGGGGGCTGTCGTAACCAGAGACAGCTTTATAAGGAGACATGCCCGTGGAGCTATGGACAGTATTGTTATAACAATATTCAGCAAGAGGCAACAATTCACACCAATCATTCTGTTGATAATTAGTAAAACAACGCAGATATTGCTCCAGGGTCTGATTAACTCGTTCCGTTTGTCCGTCAGTTTCAGGATGATACGCGCTGCTGAGCCCTTGTTCCACCCCTAAAATGGAAAGAAGTTCCCTCCAAAACTTAGAAACAAATTGGGTCCCCCTGTCAGAAATTAACTTAGCAGGTAATTGATGAATTTTCACCACGTGAGACATAAACGATTTCGCCAACCTCTGAGCTGTAGGCAAGGAAGGAAAAGGCACAAAATGAGCTTGCTTAGAAAATAAATCAACAACCACCCAAATAACAGTGTTCCCTTTGCTCGCAGGGAGGTCAGTAATAAAGTCCATGGACACCACTTCCCACGGTCTCGATGGGGTAGGGAGTGGCTGCAGAAGACCAGGAGGCTTGCCCACTCTGGGTTTAGTCAAGGCACAGGTTTGGCAGGACCGAACAAACGTCAAGAGGTCTTTGCGCATTTGAGGCCACCAGAACTGTCTGCGGA